CTCATCAAGGCTGCATTTATTTGATCAAAAATACAGAAAAAAACAGTAATCTTGCAAAATGTTATTACAATATAAAATAATGGTTTCTATTTTAATATCCTTTAAAATATCATTTATTTCTGTGATGCAAAGCTGAATTTCCATCATCATTACTCCAGTATAAAGCGTCACATGATCTTCAGAAATCATTCTAATATCTGAAGACTGGAGTAATGATGCTGAAAATTCAGTTTTGATCACAGAAATCAATTAGATTTTAATGTACATTAAAATAAAAAAACTTTATTTTATATCATAATAATATTTCACAATATTGCATTTTTTCCTGTATTTTTGATCAAATAAATGCAGCCTTGATGAGCATAAGAAACACCTTTAAAAAAACATTAAAAATCGTTCTGATCCCAAACTTTTCACCGGTAGTGTGTGTGTGTATATATATATATATATAGACATTGTTTCTTCAGCTTAAATGTGCTTGATTGTCCTAAAAATAAGCTTTAGCTCTTTGAGGTTTTTGTGAACTCAACTGTCTGCAGTCTATTGGTAGTTAAAGTTCAACTCTGCTCAACTTTGTCACATCACCGACTCTTCCTGAAAGGAATCAGCGCCGGTTGTGTTGACGCTGTAAATGCCTCGTTTGATCACAGACTGTAAACCAGCTCAGAGCAGCTCGGTCTCTATCAGACGTACCTATAGCGCTGAAGGCCACGAATCTGTTCTCCCGGGGGTTGATGCTGCCGTCGTAGGGCCGGTTTCCCCACATGTGCGCGGCGCTGTTAACCAGCCAGGTGGCGTTGAGCACAAGTGCGTATCGGAGGAGAGCAGGGACGAAATACGCCACCCACAGAGACTCGCCCCACACCAACCACGGCACGAGCGTCGGCACGGAGAAGCACATCAGCAGCACAGACGACTTGTAGAACCTGACACAGTTCAATCAGACCCAGTTAAACAGTGTATTCTGGCCAAAACTGCCATTCTGACTGACATTTGTGTCCCTGCAGCACAAAAGCAGTCTCAAGTCGCTGGGGTATATTTGCAGCAATAACCAACAATACATTGTATGGGTCAAAATTATACATTTCTCTTTAATGCCAAAAATCATTAGGATATTAAGTAAAGATCATGTTCCATGAAGATATTTTGTAAATTCCGTACCTAAAACTTAATTTTTGATTAGTGATATGCATTGCTAAGAACTTAATTTGAACAACTTTAAAGATGATTTTCTCAGTATTCTTATTTTTTTTCACCCTCAGATTCCAGATTTTCAAACTCTATCCTATCCTAACAAACCATACATCAATGGAAAGCTTATTTATTCAGCTTCCAGATGATGTATTAATCTCAATTTTTTAAAAATCGACCCGTATGACTGGTTTTGTGCTCCAGGGTCACATATGAAGTGATCTCAGACTTGCCTCCTCTGAAACATGACGACTTTATCAGCCTTCAGGTCGCTGAGCTCCAGCTTGCGTCCCTTCTCAATGACGTCCGGATGCTTGCGGACCAGCAGCCAGCCGATGTGAGAGAAGAAAAAGCCTCGCACAGCGTTGTGAGGGTCGGCGTCCGTCTCGGAGTATTTGTGGTGAACGCGGTGATCTCGAGACCATTCGTAGATGTCATTCTACAGAGAGAGCAGGAGATGAAGAAGCGCCTCATTTCTACACTACTAATGAAAAAGACTGCCACTCTGCTTTGTGCCACTAGCAGCACACAAATGACACACTACATCTGTAACAAAAATACATGGAAGCCCATTTCTGCCACTAAATAAAAAAGCTAATTGTGACTTTTCTGACTTTTTTCTAGCAGTTCTCACTCTTAGAATTTTGTGAGATGTAAACTTGCAATTGCGAGTGATAAAGTCAAATTCTGAGGAAAGAAGACACAACTGCAAGTTTATATCTCACAATTCTGACTTTATATCTTGCAATTGTGAGGAAAGTCAGGATTGTGAGATGCAATTACCTTTTTTATTTTTTGTGAATAGACAGAAATGACGGAAATCAAATGCACAAATAATAAACTTCATAGAAAGCTATTAACCACTTTTTTTTTTACAATTTTTACCTAGTTAACTAAAACCATAAAACACATTTGTTACTTGATAAAATACAATAAACGTTAACTGAAAATGAAAAAAAAAAAAAAATTTTTAATTAAAAAATAAATTACAAAATAAATAAAAAAAATAAAATAAAATAAAATAATTTAATTTAATTTAACGTCTCTAGGGCAGAGAAAAAATATATGAAAATGTTATTTCTGATGTTCTCTGAACAGTCAAAACATTTTAATTTAATTTAATTTAATTTAATTTAATTTAATTTAATTTAATTTAAATTGATTTCAGCTAGTGCCAAGGGAACATTTCTCATTTTTGTTTAGATTAAGTTACTACAACAAAATAAATAAAAATTAAGAAATACTATATATACACATAAAAAAAACTAATAAAAATGACAAAAAGTAAGAAATTCAAAACACAACAAGTATAACAGTATATAGCATTGATACTAAATTAAAACTGGTTTGAACACACGTGACGGAATGTTTCTCATGATCTTAATTACTTTCTGATCTAAAAGCTTCTGCTGAAATGCTTGGAATTTAGATGATTTTGTAGAAAAGAGGCTCAAATATAAGAGAGATTTCATTTGCATCATGTTTGAATCATTCCCAGACTTACATTTGCGTGATTTCAGAGTTTGCATCACTCTACCTTTATTCTAAATGAGGAAACTCGTCAGAATGAAGAGTGAGATGAGCCTAAACTCCTGACTGCGGGTCTCTCAACTCTATACTGACGTTTATTACGTACGTTAAATCAAACCGTCGTGCAGATGGCGAGGTCTGTACGGAGATGGGTTCGTTACCTGGAAGGCCATGGAGTTTCCGAAGGCGAGAAAGATCCGGAGAGGTAATGATGCTTTATATGATCTGTGACTCCAGAGTCTGTGAGCGCCGGCGGTGATGCCCAGAGCACTGAACAACAAACACGCAAAAACTGAAAAACACAAACATACGCCAGCCATCATATACAGATGCAAATGACTTTCAAATGTACTACTTAGACCCACAAAACTTCCATTTTTAATGCACATACATGAAGTCTCAATCACTCACAGTTCAATACACCTGGATTTCATGCATCTTTTCTTAATGCATTTTTGAGCAAATAAATGTGACCCTGGAGCACAAAATCAGTCATAAGGGTCAATTTTTGGAAATTGAGATTTATACATGATCTGAAAGCTAAATAAATAAGCTTCCATTGATGTATGGTTTGTTAGGATAGCACAATATTTGGAAAAATATTCAAAGTATTGAGAAAATCATCTTTAAAGTTGTCCAAATGAGGTTCTTAGCTATGCATATTACTAATCAAAAATTAAGTTTTGATATATTTACGGTAGGAAATTTACAAAATATCTTCATGGAACATGATCTTTACTTAATATCCTAATGATTTTTGGCATAAAAGAAAAATCTATAATTTTGACCCATACAATGTATTGTTGGTTATCGCTACAAATAAGTGAATACTTGTAATTAGATTAAATTACATTTTAAAATACTACAGTCAGACTAGTTACTTTTTATGGATTGCATGATTACATATTATTTACACAATAGCAATAATTTATTCATAATTTATTGATTCTCCCCAATTCCTCTTTTAGATGTTCCTTTCTAAAATAGCTTACACACTCAGAAAGCCTCCAGTTTTGTGGACATTCACTCAGAGATCAGTCACTAATCAGGTGCTACACAGCAGTTCACCACTGGTTTACAAAAATCATTTCAGAAGTGTTTAACATTGCATCAACTTCTGATGAACACATTCATGTTTATTTGAATCATCACTCAGTTGGTTATTTTAACATGTATTACTTTGGAAGGCGTTTGTCTTTCAAACACATTGAAATGCACAAACTTTTTTGCCGTCTGATTCTCTTTCACCTAATATATTTTTATTTGAAGTACCCCTGAGATTTTAAAACAAATATTTTAATAACGAAGTATCACATTTGCATGCTCATTGGTTCTCTGACATTGGTTATGGTCACATGTCATGCAGGTAAACAAATAAAATATCTAATTTTTTCAGTAAGTGTTTTGTTTTAATTCATTTTAAAATTGTCAAATTGTTTCAATTTGAAATTTGTACGATTTATTTGATTATTAGTGTTTAACTCGTAAACCCCCTGCAGTTTCTTCACAAACCCAGTTTGGGAAACTTTGACACAACGAATGGAATATATTTTCTTACTCTTTGTATTTTTATATCAATATGGTACAGGATCATCCTACATGAATCAATGGGGAAAACAAGATGGGTCAAAAGTAATCTAAAAGTAGTCTAATTACATTACCTAAATGTGTAATGTAATGGATTACGTTACTAACATTTTTGTCATGTAATTTGGAATTAGCAACGCATTACAACTTGTAAGTAATCTACCCAGCTCTGCTAGCCAATGAGATTTTTTTTTAATGAATAAAAATTTAATTAGCACATAATCGTCTAATATAATGAGCTCTTGCATGTCATTAGGACTAATTGTGTGTATTAGAACATTTCAAAATGAGATTTAAGAAAATTAAATTTAAATTTAAACAACACAAAGCTATTGCACGCCTTCAAAAGTCTTTATATGCAGCTTGACGGCCCTGGTCTCCGTTCAGCTTTATTGTTTGGAAAAGTGCAGTGTGAACATTCTTCTAAACATCTCCTTTTGTGTTGCACGTTAGTATGAAGAGAGTATGTTAAGCAAATCATGACAGAATGTTCGTTTTTGCATGATTTATAGAGGGTTTATGCTTTAAAAAAGAAAGAGAGAAAAGTGCATGATACTCACACCAGATCCATGTGAGAGCACTTGCAGATGGAAGCAGGACGAGTCCATACAGAGCTCCGACGTGCAGGAAACTCATGAGAATGACATTTCTCCACACTATGACTGAGGGAGGTTTGGGCCCTTCTTTCTCTTTATATGTGTGATCAAACACGTCCTCCACGGTCTCCGGTTCTGGACGCCAGATTGGAGATTTGATTCACACAGACACACGCGCACACACAGACACGCACACACGCGCACACACGCGCACACACACGCACACACACACACACACACACAAGCACACACACACACGCACACGCACACACACGCACGCACGCACACACACGTTATTATAATAACACACAACAACAACAGAAGCAAAGCGAGAATAAAGCGGGTCAGCTGAAACACTCACCGGTCTGATGCTGCGGTAAAGCAGTGAAGAGCAACAGCTGCCGGTAATGCGCCGCACCGTCGCGAACGGCAGAAATACTGCGCGGTGATTGGTCAGAGAGTTTGACGCCACCTTAAATCGAGCGCTCCGATTGGCTGAGCTTCATCTGATGTTCGCGTTCTCGTTATTCACAGCAGCATCCCAGTACAACCAAACCTCACCGGAGCCGGTGCATTTATACGGTAAACCCGCTCAGGCCCCCCCCCCAGCCAATCACCGCGAGCCCCTGCTGGCTCTGCACTAAACACTGTTTCATCATCGCATGCATCATTATTTTCAAATATGATTTGTTCTTGGATTATCACTTTATATTGTACCTAAATTATGCTAAATATTGCTATACTGATAACAGGACAGGAAATAGAGTAATTACAGTGATCTATCAGCTGAACTACAGTTACTACAGTTATCAGAAATTTACTTTATAGCCTATAATGCACTGCATTATCTATATTGTCCCTTAAATAAAAACGAGGGCATGTGAATCGATTAAATGAAATAAGTCCTCTTGACAATCATAGATGTTATCACACAAATTGAAAAGAGTTTTAAGCAAAAACTACTAACCTGTTTGAAATTGATTCACTGATTTATTTTGTACTAAATTATTTAGATAATTAGCCTACATAATTTTATTTCTACATAATTAGTAATAGGCCTAATATATATTTTTCCTATTAATTTGTACAAAAATAATAATTTTAATGATTATTTAAATGTATAAATTGCTCAGACTTTTCTGTTATAATGACATTGTCACCTTAAATTTAGTTTTTACAATTTTTTTTTATTGAAATGTACCTTCTAGTATAGTTAAACATTTCAAAACAATTAGTTTGACTGAAGATTAAATGCTTTAAATTATGTGAATCTTATCAAAGAGTCAGAGTATAGCTTTACTGGTTAAACAACCTGCAGAAAATACTCTGTAAGTCAACACCACAGTATTTTATTAACTGTAATTCTCTCTCAGAGCTACAGGAATCTGATTTTCTCGTGTTTGTCAGAAACTCCTCAGTTATATGATTATTAAACTGTATTATTATTTTTATGCTTTGAGATACATTCTGTTCTCTTTTTGAAATCATCATTTGTCATGACATCTTTGAGTTAAAAGCTGTTCTCAAAACTTTAGTTAACTTTCCACACACTTGTGATAAACTGATATGAAGAAGATACTGGTGACTCTACAAGATCTGATCCAGATAATGCTATTGAACATGGCATGATGTTGAGTGATAGCATTCAAACCTTTGCTCTTATTTTGCCATCACACACCCTGGAAACACACTCAAACTCACACTCGTACTGGGATAAAGTACCATTCAAAAGGGAAAGAAATTAATACTTTTATTAAGCAATTAGATACATTAAATTGATCAAAAGTGACAGTAAAAAAAAATCTAATAAATGCTGTTCTTTTGAACTTTCTATTCATCTGTGAATCCTGAAAAATAAAATGCATCACGGTTTCCACAATTCCACAGTTCCCAACACTGATAATAATCAGAAATGTGTCTCGAGCAGCAAAACAAGCATATTAGAATGATTTCTGAAGATCATGTGACACTGAAGACTGCAGTAATGATGCTGAAAATACAGCTTTGATCACAGAAATAAATTACAGTTTAACAGAGATTCACTTAGAAGACAGCTGTTTTAAATGGTAAAAATATTTAACAATTTTTGAAGTATTTTTAATCAAATGCATGCAGCCTCTGTGAGAAGAAGAGACTAATTTTAATAACATAAAAAAAAAAATCGTAATTATTCCAAACTTTTGGCCACCAGTTTATACCTAAATGTCATTTTTGTTCTGCTGTAATAAAGTGCTCCAGAGTGTTGGTGAAATAAAAGAGAGAGCAGTTATAAACTATATATTAATACATCAAAAAGGAAGAAAAGCGTATGCATGTAGGCTATCAAACACTCAGATAGTGCCTAGAGTTTTAGACCGACAGTTAAAGTGTTAAATAGTGTTTAATAGTGTTTTGTGATCACACGCACGCCATTTCACCAACATTTAAATGCAACATGTTATTAAGAGGTATCTAAAAACTTAAACTATAGCGCCATCTACTGTGCGATTCTTGAAAAACAAACATAATCAATAGCCTGATACACGTTATTTTGCATCAGCATCATGCGTGATGACACGTTATTGTTTGATTGCCCAATGCATATTGATTCTTACTTATTAAATTAATCTAATTTGATATAGGCTAATCAGAAGAGGAAGTTATATGTTATATACAGATTTAGTATATCGTTTAGGAAATACATGCTATTCGTTTAATTTAAAAGGCAGCGTATTCCGTATATTTAGTGTTGGTGTTGGACGCCTGCTGAGACTGTTATCCATAGAAATAGAAAGATATGGTGGAATGGATATTGATATTAATGCGATGCATAAGATGGGAGGAGTTAATGGCACAGACTCTGTTTCTAATTGGCCAGGGACAATAATTGCCATTATTCTTAACATTTACTAGAAAACAGACACGTATAAGGGAATAAAAAGTCAAATAAATGTAAATAATAATACAATAAATGGAAAATAATTTAGAAACCTAGTAAAAGTAATGTTAAATAACACTCTAAAACGTCTAAATGAAGCATACTAACTACTAACAGACTAGCATACTACGCCTAATATTTCTGCAATATCTTTACATGGCAGAAACTAAAAATGACTAAAAATAATCCAGACCGCTGCTGGATAACGAGCAGACGGCAGAGTCACGTGACACCTGTTACATTTCTCAGCGTTGGTCGGAATGAACCAATCACAGCCCTGTGTGACCAACTCAATTCCGATTGGTTGAGTAGTTTTAAATTCGTACGTCAAGTGTGGATTAGTTTAAATAATAATTTTAACCACATACTTTTTACCACATGAATATCAGCAACAAAACAAAACACGTCGTGAAATTTACAGCAAAAGAAAAACGCCACGATAGTGTTTTCGTGACTTTCAATAAAAGAAAAACAATTGAGAGAGACGGATAACGGCAGTCAGAAGAGAGACGCTGCTTTAGAAACACCGTTTTTTTTTTGTAATTTGATGCAAAGGTGATATAACACAAAATAATAGTGTTATAAACGTACACACATAAAAAAAAAAAATACAAAACGAAAAACTTTCGAGGATTTACGATGCTGATGACCGTTAAACGCGTCACGTGGGCCAACGAGCGCCATCTGCAGGAAACCAAACACATAGGAAACAGTTAGTATTAGCATTATTATTATTAGCCGACAGCAGTCGCAGCTCAATGGTGCGCTCTCCGTGTGTTTATGAAATCATCTGGTGTTTGTAAGTAGCTCAGAGATGGAGGTGAACAGGGATGAAGCGGAGCGATGCATCGAGATCGCGATCGGAGCGCTGGAGGACGCGCAGCCGGAGAAAGCTCGCAGGTTTCTGGAGAAAGCGCAGCGGCTTTTCCCGACGCGCAGAGCCCAGGGTGAGCGCACTGAACCCGGGCTAATCCAGGCCTGGTCGCCTCGGTTAGCTTTGTGTTGTATCCCTGTGTGTGTGTGTGTGTGTGTGTGTGTGTGTGTGTGTGTGTGTGTGTGTGTGTGTGTGTGTGTGTGTGTTGCTGTATCGTTATAGAGCTGCTGCTCTGATGATGATGTAACTATTGCATATAAACAATACAGACAGGTCAGATTGAGATGTCATGTTAATCCGGCTGTGTCTCAAATCCCAGTGAGCTGACTCATTAGACAGCATATTAGGGCATGACGTTCACGTGTTGAAACGGTGATGTCCCAAAATGTTGTTTAGGTCAGCATCTCACCCACTCAGTAGTGCTGGATGTGCATGTGATGAATGTAGTTGCGCTGGACTAGGTTATGAGACGCAGCCGATATCTTAAAATCCACTGATGCTGAGTAGTTCACCAAAAAATGATCATATGCTGAAAATGTGCTCACCTTCAGTTAATCCGAGATTAGGATGAGTTTGTTTCTTCATCAGATTTGGAGCATCACAATAATCCACAAGTAATCCACAGCACTCCAGTCCATCAGTTAACATCTGGAGAAGACAAAAGCTGAAACAAATCCAGCATTAAGACGATTTTAACTCAAATACCATTGAGTCCATAATTCATAATAACGCTTCCTCCAGTGAAAAAGTGCATCTGCTGTTGTCTCTCATCAAACTCCAGCCACATATGTGTTTAGAGCTGTTTAAACGCTGCTTGATCTGTGCAGATTTCTCTCCTGATTCAGACCAGAACACTTTTTCACTGGAGGAAGCGTGATTATGGATTCATATTTGAGTTAAAAACATCTTAATGCTGGATTTGTTTCAGCTTTTGTCTTCTCCAGATGTTAACTGATGGACTGGAGTGCTGTGGATTACTTGTGGATACATTAAGCAAATTAATTTTTTGTGTGAGCTGTTCCTTTAAGTAGGCTGCTCATTTGTATGACCCCGTAAAAAGGCTGACTCTTTCCAGAAGTAATGGGAGCTGTGATCAGTTGTGTTGATTGTGTTGCGCTCATGACTCCTGGTTGTTTATCAGAGCTGCTGTCATGGTCTCAGAGCAGCGCTGCAGGAGCCGCTGATGGCACAGAAGCTCGTCAGCGCAGGTCTGGGGTCAGCAGTAACGGAGCGGCACCTGTCGACTCCAGCAAGCCCTACACACCTGAGCAGGCCGACGCCGTCAGAAGGTGTGTTCAGTGTTTTCACATTAGTGTCCCACAGCTTCTGTTTGATGGCAAAACATTTAGACTCATGCAGCCAGACAGTT